TTTAAAAAAAAAAAAAAAAAAACGTTAGTAGCTAGGTGGTGGTTTGTGAGTGAGGGATGTAAGGGTAATTTGGTCATACCACATCTCAACGGCTACTTCCATATAAAAGGATGTCACGAACCCTATTTCTTTATTATTCTTTCTATATCGTTCTTCACTTCTTCTCTTCCTTCTCCGACCACTTATTCATCTCTCTCTGATCTTCGCGCGCTCACAACCACCGCAATTCACATTCACATTCTCTTCTCTCTCTCTCTCTCTCTCTCTCTATTTCTCCATTCCCTTCCTTCTTCATTTCCACTCACTTGTTTATCTCTTTTGCAGGCTTTCTTTCGCTCTTTTTCTTCCTCCAACCATGGACGCGGGACCATGGAGTTCTTCCTCCAAGATCAAGTCCCGTTCGCCCTTCCAAGATCTCCTCCGCAGAAAAAACTCTCAAGAAAACGTAAGCCCCAGCATCATTATTTCCACACGCAAAAAATAAAAATAAAAATAAAAATAAAACCCTAATTTTGGAAACAGTTGGACAGGTTCATCCCCAATAGGTCTGCGATGGACTTCGATTACGCTCACTACATGCTGACGGAGGGTAACAAGAAGGGAAAGGAGAAAGAGAACCCCGAGGTGACGTCACCGTCGCGAGAAGCCTACTTGAAGCAACTCGCTGAGGCTTTCAACATGAACAGAACTCGAATCTTGGCCTTCAAGAACAAACCCCCAACTCCGGTTGAACTCATTCCCAACTCCATCCTTTCGCCTCCTCCTCCTTCCAAATCCTCTAAGCCCAGGCGCTACATTCCTCAGGTTTGTTAATTAAATTCGAAATTATGTGTTTATTAGTCAGATGCTATGAAAGTTGAAATTGTGTTCTTACTGTTTGTGGAAATGGTTGTTAGAGTTCTGAGAGGACTTTGGATGCTCCTGATATACTTGATGACTTTTACTTGAACCTGTTGGACTGGGGAAGCAGAAATGTTCTCAGTATTGCCCTTGGAAACACCGTGTATATATGGAATGCCGCTGATTGCTCAACGGCGGAACTTGTTACCGTGGATGAGGAAGATGGTCCCGTTACTAGCGTTTCCTGGGCTCCTAATGGGCGCGATTTAGCCATTGGTTTGAACAATTCTCATGTCCAGCTCTGGGATGCTGATGCTTCTAGGATGGTAAATGTTTTACTTTTTTTAAATTTATCCATTTTGGGGGTGAATTTTGAATGGTTGACTGTATATATCTTTATTGGTTAATTACATTGATGTTGTATTGAAATTGAACTCTGTTTTGTGTTTTTGTGAAATTGGAATGTTCTTTGTACACAATCTGTTGTTGTGATTTGATTTGGTGACTGCAGCTACGGACACTAAGAGGTGGGCACCAAACGAGAGTGGGTTCACTGTGTTGGAACAATCATATCCTCACCACTGGAGGGATGGACTGTAGGATTGTTAATAATGATGTTAGAGTGAGTCTCATATTGTTGAATCTTATAGGGGGCATCAGCAGGAGGTTTAATCTAAAATTAACCTTATACAATAAAATTCTAAGATTCAACAATATAAGTGACTATGCGCATTTCTGAATTTAATAGTTTATAATGTATAAGCATAAAATATATTATTACATCTCATTTAAAATTAATATTAAAAATATGTGTAATTATAAGTCAAATAAACATATATCTACATATATTATACTATCGGTAAATAGTAAAAAACATCATCACATCACTAAATAATAAATATAGATAGATACTTGCTGGAAAAACTTTTTAATTTATTTTTAATTTATCTCTCATTTTTAATCTCTCTATCTCTCTCTATATAACTCTTCTTGTTACATTAATTATATTATTTATTATAGCTTTTACATTTTTTCTTCTATCTTTTAATCTATTTATAACGAGTATATAACAATCATTTTTCTTACCAACTAGTGAGTTTTATATAGATTTCAATTTTATTAATAATTAAAGTTGTTAGATTAAATTATGTTAAAAATGAATGATTACCTTTCCTTTTGGTAAAAAAAATATGAATTGTTTTCCAAATAAGCAGGTTAAGGAATGTTAATTTGAGCTTTAATTTGACCTCATCCTACACAAAAATAAATCAAGTCACCATGCCAAATCAACTTTTATTACCTGAAACAAAAACTAGAGTTTTTTTTTTTTTTTTGGAAAATTTTCAGTTCACACTTAGAATACAAAGATTGGGTTCAAAGAGTGATGAAAAAAGTAAACAGAGAAAGAAGAGATAATTAATACTATAAGAAAAAAATGTATAAAAGAGTAAATAAAGTTGCCAGGTGTTTAAGAAACGATCAAAAATTAATTTGCTTTTTGTTTTTATATAAAATATTAATTAATACATTAAAAATATTAAATAAAGTGATGCTCTTACATCATATCAGTTTATCTCTTACTTTTCTCTCTCTCTATAGTATCATACGTTAAGACACAGGACACTTCCATATATACCTGCTCACTCTCAGTGTTGATTCTCACTTCTCATAAATCTCAATCTCTTTCTCTTTGATTGTGTTTGTCTCTAATCTATCATCATCCCCCTGAAGGTGCAGAAACTCATATATCCTTTTAGAGTTTTTTTCTTAATGCTGATATATGTATTGTATACACACTTTTGAACACCTTCACTTGATTCTTCTCAGTTTGAATTTTTTTTTCGATCTTTTCTTGTTTCTCTGCAGATGGATCCTTCTGTGGAAAGAGTTTCAGGAGCAAAGGGGGAAAACAGTGGTGATGGCAACAATCTTCAGGTGGTGCCTTATTCTGACAACAAAATGGTGTGTCCTTACTGCATATCCTTTTATGAGAGTTTTTTCTTAATGCAGATATATACATACACCCCTTTGAACACCTTAACTTGATTTTTCTCACAGATTCTTTTTTTTTTTTTCTTCTTTTCTTGTTTTCTCTGCAGATGGATCCGTCTGAGGAAAGAGTTTCTGGAGAAAAAGGGAAAAACAACGGTGCTGGTGGCAACCATCTTCTGGTGTCTTATTCTTCTGACAACCAAAATGTTTGTCCTTACTCTTACTGCAATCATGAAACTCACATATCCTTTAGAGTTTTTTTTCCTAATGCATATATGTATATACACACTTAACGTGATTTTTTATTTTTGTCAGTTTTCTTTTTTAATATTTTATTTTCTTGTTTTCTCTGCAGATGGATCCTTCTGAGGAAAGGGATTCAAAAGGGCACCACAATGATGGTGGTGCCAACAACCTTCAGCTGTTGCCCAATTCTGAGAACAACAATGTTTGTCCTTACTGCAAGCCTCAAACCCACATATTTTTTAGTGTTTTTTCTTAATGCAGATATATATTACCTTTTGAACACCTTAACTTGATTTTTCTCAGAGTTTATTTTTTTCTTTTCTTGTTCTCCCTGCACATGGATCCTTCTCAGGAAATGGTTACAGGACAAGGGGAAAAAAGTGGCGGTGGTTCTCAGCTGGTGCCTTATCCTGACAACTACAACAACGTTTGTCCTTACTTCAATCATGAAACCCACATTTCCTTTAGAGTTTTTTCTTCTTCCAAATATATATATGCATACATGCACCCTTTAGAACACCTTAACTTGATTTTTCTCAGACTTTTTTTCTTTAATTGTTTTCTGAACATGGATCCTTCTCAGGAAACGCTTATAGAACAAGGGTGCAACAATGGTAACAGTGGTGAAGGTGATGGTAACAAAGGTGATGAAGGTGATGGTAGCAACCTTGAGGTGGTGGTGCCTTTTTCTGCAACCAAAAAAGTGTGTCCTCACTGCAAGCGTGAAACCAACATTTCCTTTAGAGCTTTCCCTTAAGATATATATACAATTATACGTCCTTTTGAATGAGAAATTATTAGATGATCTTATACTATATTGTCTCTAATATATTAATAATCAAGTATTATCAAGTTTTTTTATAAATTAAAAATCTTAAATACATGTCGTATAATAATGATCAAAATCGTAGTCCTGAATCATCTAATAATTTCTCCTTTTGAACATCTTGATTTTTCTCACAGTTTTTTTTCTTTGTTTTCTTGTTTTCTCTGCAGGTGGTGCCTTCTTCTTCCACCAAAAGAGTTTGTCTTCACTGCAAGCGTGAATTCAGCTGTGGAAGAGCCTTGGGAGGGCACATGAAAGTCCACACCAAGGGCCGAAAGAAGTTCCAGTTCACGCGCACAAAGATGAGCAAGTGGAGAGTGTCTCGACCCTCTTCATCAGCGCCACCAAAGAGGAGCACCAAAGCAAGTGGTGCTGATCATCACCGCAAGACCACTGATTCCTCCAAGTCCCTGCTAAGGTGGAAGGTTCAGAAGAAGAGGGGTAGCAACGAAGAGAAGAACAAAACCGTGGCTGCACCAGATGATTCCTCTAGCGACGATGATTACATCGAGTGCCACCAGGATGACTCATGCGATGAAGATGACTATGACAACATCAGGCTGAGGAAGAAGCTTAGGAGATTTGGCTTCAATGGCACTGCACACAAGATTTGTTGGACTAGGAGAGTGATGATGTGCAAAGTTTGCAACCAGTTTTTCAAAACATTCGTTGGTGTGTTTCAACATGTGGACGAAAAGGATCCAACATCGGACACTGAACAAGAGAATGCAGGTGAAGGTCCTTCCACACGAGGTGTTGGTGAAGTGGATGCTGCCATGGGAGATAACAATGCAGGTTCTGGTGAAGTGAGTGAGAAGAGTGGTGGTGGTAAAGTTGAAAATTTGGATCTCAACAAGATGCCTCCTGCTGGAGAATGACACGAGGTGTTGGTGAAGTGGATGCTGCCATGGGAGATAACAATGCAGGTTCTGGTGAAGTGAGTGAGAAGAGTGGTGGTGGTAAAGTTGAAAATTTGGATCTCAACAAGATGCCTCCTGCTGAAGACTGAAGCACAAATAATAGTGGTGTATGAACTAAAATAAAGTGGGGTTGTTAGTTTTTCATTATCTAAGTTATGTTTAGGGATATCTGAAGTTTTTTCAGATCTAGGGTTTAATTATCTGTTTCTTTCTGTTGTTGGACAATGTAGTAGTTTTCTTTCATCTATGTGGATTTGCATGCATCCCCTTGTTTCTAGGATTTATCTCTTTGTGATGAACAATATAATAGTTTTCTTTTACTTGTTTAATTTATCTGTGAATTTGTATCTCCTTGTTTCTAGGGTTTAATTATCTCTTTCTGTTGGACAATATAAATATAATAGTTTTCTTTCATCCTTGTTGAATTTCTCAGTGAATTTGCATCCCTTACTTTTTTCTTAAGATCTGTGAGAACTGAGAAGATAAGAACAAATTTAAATATCTGATTATGGTGGGCTATGAAGTATGAACTGCCAAAATTGTTTCCTTTTTTTTTTCTCTTGGCATCACTGTGTATATCTTCAAGAAAAATTAAATGGGAGTTTTAGATCCTTTTTTTTTTGCTGTCTTTCTTAATGTGGTATGTCCATGTTACGTTTCATTAATGTTTCTGAAAAATTGTACTTTGGATTTGAATCTTCTGAGGAAACACTAAAGAAGGAAAATTATGTAAATGACAAATCTTCTGAAGGAAAAAACTCAAAAGGTAAAATATATAATGGACATGGTAAGATACAGTGGACTAATCATTCATGGAAAATCAAATAAATAAGCTTATGAGATTGCTCATATTTTGAACAAAATTTGAAGCGTTTAACATTATTTCAATTGTTCACTTTCTATTGGCACATTCAGATAGGATGTGAATTTGGTTTCATTGAGTGAACTGCTTTAAATTTGATGATACGTTTCTTTCAGTTTCTTATATTCAGGAGTAATTTCTGATATATATATATATATATATATATAATATTTTTATA